GGCAAAATTCCTTCTGTTCACTCATTCTCCATTTTTTAAAATCTGCTTTGAAGTGTTCCCCCCCCCCCCCATTTTCATTGGAAGGCAGAGAGCTAGAGAAAGAGGCACAGACAGAGGTCACTCTGCTGATTCACTCCCCGTGTACCTGCAACAGTCATAACTGGCCCAGGTTGAAGTCATACATTAGAACTCAGTTTAAGTCTGCTATGTGAATGACAGGAATCAAAGTGCTTGAACCCTCTTTTGTTGCCTCCCAGAGTGCATGTTAGCTGGATGGTGTAGAAAACAGTCAGGGTTTGAACCAAGACACTAGAACAGGAGATGAGATTATCCCAAGGGACATGACATCCACTGTGCCACTGACTCCATCTTTAAAATGTTTAAAATCGACACATGATACTTACATGTTTATGCAATTTTAAAGATTTATTTATTTATTTATTTATTTAAACATCACAGCGACAAAAAGGTCAGGAGAGACAGATAGAAGAAAAATGAGTGAACTATCTTCTATTTGCTAGTCCACTCCTCAAGTGGCCCTTTGAGAGGGCTAGGATTGGATCAGGTCAAAACCAGATGCCAAGAAATTCATCCAGGACACTCACCTTGGAAGCAGAAACCCAAGCACCTGTGCCGTCTGCTGCTTTTCTAGATGCCCTGATCATGGAAATGGATCTGAGCTAGAATAGCAAGGACTCAAAGGAGTTCTCTGGCATGATGCATTACAAGCAGTGTCTTAATCTGATGCGCAGTGCTGGTCCCAATGTTTATAAATTTTAGTGGTGTACAGTGCAATCTTCAGCACAAATATGCAGCATAAACTGACCAAATCAGATAATTGGCATTTTCTTTATCCCCTTTTTAAAAAGAAGATTTATATTTTTTATTTAAAATGTATAATTACAGAGAGATAGGAAGACAATGGTCTTTCATCTCCTGGTTAACTTCCCAAATGGCTACAACAGCTGGGGCTGGGTCATACCAAAATTAAGATCCAGAAGCTTCTTGCAAGTCTTCCATGTGGGTGCAGGGCCCAAACACTTTGATTATTCTCCGCTGCTTTCCCAGAGACATTAGCATGGAACTGGATACCAAGTGGAGCATCTGGACTCGACCTGGCTCCTGTACAGGATGCTGGCCATACAGGCAGCAATTTTAGTTGTTATGCCACAATGCTTGTCCAAATTTTCCGTATGTTTGACTTCTTCTCTTAAATTCTACATGAAATATACAACACATTATTACATACTCGTGCTATACTATGAAACTATAGAATTTATTTTTTCTATCTCTTCTGGTTTCAGTTATTCAACTTCCTTCTATACCCTCTCCCCACATTTACCCTGTCTTCAATTAATTACTACGCTGAAATCAACTTTTTAAAGCTTCCATATATGAGACACAGCATGTAATAGTTATTTTCCTGTGCCTTATTTATTTCACTTAATATACTTACTTCCAGTTCCATTTATTTTCTTTTAAGATTTTATTTATTTTTATTGGAAAGTCAGATACACAGAGAGGAGGAGAGAGAAAAAGATCTTCTGTCCAATGATTCACTCCCCAAGCGGCTACAATGGCTGGAGCTGAGCCAATCTGAAGCCAGGAGACTCTTCCAGGTCTCCCATACGGGTACAGGGTCCCAAAGCCTTGGTCCGTCCTGGACTGCTTTCCTAGGCCACAGGCATGGAGCTGGATGGGAAGCGGGGCTGCTAGGATTAGAACCAGCGCCCATATGGGATCCTGGTGTGTTCAAGGCGAGGACCTTAACCACTACACTATCTACCAGGCCCACTTACAGCTCCATTCATTTTGATTCAAATATCATAATTCCATTCTTTTTGTGGCTGAATATTAGTCCATTATATGTACACCACACTTTCCTTTTTATTGATACAAAGGAAACAGTTAATGTAGCACATAGATAAAATTCCAAGAGTATAATGATACTTCTCTTCCTTCCTCCATCCCCCATTTTTTCTTCTAATATTTTTATGACACATTTTAAATTTATATTAAAATCAAAGACTTAATGCTCCACTAAATAAACAAGTAGAAAGTAAGATAAATCATAACACAGAAGGTGTATAGGCAAGGACTATAAACAGTAATCAGTAAAAACCTGTCAATTTTGCTCATATACATGAAATTTAAAAATGACCAAAGGTAATGGAAACTTCAGGAATATATCATTCTTAATCATTACTTTGATGAAGATACTTGGTTTTACATTATATTTCATTTATCCATTAGTGAATGCGTAGGTTGATTCCATATCTTGGGTATTGTGAACAATGTCACAATGAACATGACACTGTAGGAATTACATACAGAAGGGAGATGGCTGGATCATGTATGTTAGATCTATTTTCAGTCATTGAGGAAAATAAAATCTGTTCCCCATGATGGCTGCCCTAATTTGCATTGTGAATGACTTCTTAATTTAATACTAAGTCTGCATATTAGAGAAAACAAAGCAATGGTTATTATAGTTTTAAGTTAAGCACTGGCTTCTTTGGGTTCAGTATACCCCTAAACAAAGGAAACAAAATGTCATTAATGCTTTTATATAGTCAATCAAAATGAGCAAGTGTGAATTTTAATCATTCTCCTTTTATTTCTGTGTCATTAGTCTTATACTTCCTCTGTAATGATATCTTCAGTTATTCTCCAAGTCCCTATTTATGTATCAGTCTCACCACACCATTGTTTATCTCTCTGTATTCCAAAGTTGGTTTTCTGCGGCTCAGAGCTTTGAACGTGCTATTCCATCTGCCAAGTTTTCTTTCCTAATAGCGTCCTGTAGTTGACTGCCACTTGTCCGTCTGGATCAATTCAAGTATTCTCCCCTTGGAGAAACTCTTAGGGACACAATCATTCCTTAAAGCTTATTAAGTCCAGGCATTAATGTTCCTATTACCAAAAGATGATATATGAATTCATGTTGCTAATTCCTTATTATTTTTCTGTGTCATACGACCCCATGCTTTAAACCTCAGAAGAAAATTTTATTCTTTGACTCATGTATCTTAAAACCAAAATTCCTAGAAGAATTACCGCACAGTTTCCAACAGTTATTGTGTGAATGCTTAATAACACATGAGTGGCACTTGTGCAGAAATAATGTTATAGATGAAGATTTAGGTCATATCAAAAGCAATGACACACGGAAGTGAAAGGGTAAAATATTTATGGACAAAAAGAAATCAATAGGTCTTTGGAAACACTGCCTCAAATGATAAGGGAGAATTTTCTTGTTAGTTACGACTTTTGAATTACTGGATTTCTAGGAAAATGGGAAAGTTGTCTGCAGCTGTGAGGGATCACAGATACTCCTGAGCCTGAGAGGGCGTGATTAAACACACTCACTTGCCAAGACCTATGGAAGTTTAGATACTAGCCTCTGAGTCATCCTGTAAAGCCACAAGGCATAAACTGGACACAATAGGATCATTCATGTGGCCAAAGATCTTTCTTTATAAATCCATTTGACAGTTCTTAAGGAGACTGTCACCTAGATTTCTCTACATTAATACTTCAGCTTGAGAGAAATCATGAGTTATTTTGGAATATTACATCTTGACAAATGCCACCTTCCTTGCCTTATAGCCATCTTCATTAATGAACAAATACAGATTGCATATATTATTATCAAGAGTGGAACAATTTTATTTAAATTTCTGTCTATCTGATAGATCATGGATAAACTAATTTGAAAATATAGTTCCCCTTAAATGAAAAGAAATAATTTCTTAATTTATTTATTTATTTTTGTATGATCATTGAGTCTTGCCTCAGGGGCACATAATAATCAAATTAAACTTACAAAACCTCAGTTACAATTCAGCACAATATGAAACCATGTATGGATATCAAAGATAATGAAATAAAATAACATAAATTTAAAAAACCAAATTCTTCCTGCCTTGTTTAGAGTGTGATAGGTGAGAAATATAATCAATCCAATATAAAAGTGTCTAAAATGATCTGTGTCCTAGCTTTAGCAGTACATAGCTGATTAGTTAATAAAAATAGCTCCTGCCATTTTAGAATTACTTCAAAGATACAGCAAGAAGAGAGACGTGTTCTGTGCTGTTATGCCTCAGAATAAAAACTGCTGTGTTTTGGACCTGACATTTATCAGAATTAACTCATTGAAAGCCACGGTGAACATGGAAGAGTCATTCCAATAGCACACATACATATTCAGGGAGAAATAAAAATTATCTGGTGCTTGTACAGGAATACATTAACATGGATGAAAATATTTTTCTCATACAATGCAAACATGCTTATTGCAAGCAGATACAAGTAAGTAGAAAATGAATAAGAGTCTGATTCTGTATTATACTAGCTAATGCCACCCTATTTTTGCGATGACACTGGTGCTTTATGGGACTTGTTTTCCCTAGGTTATTGTGAATTAAAATATCATAGTCTAAACACCCAAAGAGTATATGCATAATCTGTATAGGACTTTTCCCTTGGCTACTCCTAACTGAATAAGATTTATACTTCTTTCTTTAGAAATCTGGCATCTGCACCTAAAATTGTATGAACATTTTTCACATGTTGGCTTACGTGTTAGGTCTAAGATTCAGGCCTCTATAGCACTAGAGGCCAGAATGTAAGAAAAATTGGCAAATTAAAGTCCTAGACTATTTGATGATTTTGACGGGAGGGGAAACCAAGGAAATAACTAAAGGAAGAAATAAGAAAACTTGGGAAAATTCAACTGAAACAGGGGAAAGGACTTTCAAAAACTCGATTAGCAGAGTCCTTTGAGGGGGCCTCTCTGACCCTATCTCCGCTCATGTGCTGTGTCAACCCTCTCCTGCCTGAACCTCGCCCCTGGGTTGACCAGCCTTGCCTTGACCAATAGCCTTGACCACAAAACACTGACCAATAGCCTCCGAGATGAAGTGATACAAGTGGCCAGAGGTCCAGGGAGGAGGAATAAAAGGCCAGTCTTTGAGCAGCTTCACAGACTTGCTTCTGAGATTATCAGCAAGCTCTTAGCCCCAGCACCATGGTTCACTTCACAGCAGAGGAAAAGGCTGCCATTGAACACTCATGGAAACTGGTGAATGTGGAAGATGTGGGAGGAGAAGCCCTTGGAAGGTAGGCTCCGAGGGCCAGTGCATGGATGGGAAGGAGTGAATGTGTACCTTATGTGAGTCTAGTCCCTTTCCCAGGGCTTGTGACGGTGTCTGATATTCCAACTATTACTGTTCCATCCCCATAGGCTGCTGCTCGTCTATCCTTGGACCCAGAGATTCTTTGATAACTTTGGGAACCTGTCATCTGCCTCTGCCATCATGGGGAACCCCAAGGTGAAGGCGCATGGCAAGAAGGTGTTGAGCGCCTTTGGAGAAGCTGTGAAGAACATGGATGATCTCAAAACCGCTTTCGCACACCTGAGTGAGCTGCACTGTGACAAGATGCATGTGGATCCTGAGAACTTCAAGGTGAGTCCCACAAAACCTCAAGCTCTCTTAGCTTCAGCCTAGGTGACAATGTGCATAATTAAACAACGATCCGCCGCAGGGTGTGAGCAATGTGGAGATACTGGGGTCGAGAACGGGCAACCTTCGAGGATTGTGCTAATAGTCACGCAGGACTTTTAGGAGTCTAGAGAGACTTATCTATGCTACACTGGATTTGAGAAGAAATATATTGAGATGAGGAAAATAATTTTTGGTAATTAGAGTTGCAGAAATCACACTATCATTTCTTTTTCCTCCCCCTCTTTTTCTTTTTTTTCTTAAAAGAGTTTAAAACTCTGATGCAAATAGAAAATGATCCTGGAAAAAATAAGTGTGGGTCAGCGTATGTGAGCTCAGTAAGAAACTTGGGTGATGTCGTGTGCATTGCTAAGGATATTCCTGTAATGGCTAAATACTTGTATTAAATACTGCGTATGTCTCATTTCAAACTAAATCCAACAACTCCAGATGAGAAAATATGTATTTTTGAGAAAGAGACAATTGGAACGTTTGATCTGAAGTGCATTTGGAAAGATGTTTGAAGTGTTTTTTCTTTTAATTAGACTTTTCCCCTCAGCTCATAAATGGGGAATTCTGTTAGATGATAGAAATATTTGAATCATGCCCAGAGATTAGTCCACCAAATGGAACAAATATTTATGTGTAACAGCTGGGGGGTGGGAGGAGTAAGACCCAGCTTGGAGTGCAGTTCACTTAGGCTTGAGTTTGAGGAACACTTGATGTTCAGGTGCCTGGACCTGCCTGAACTCTACTAACTATGTTTGTATCTGTCTTCTCTTCTCCACAGCTCCTGGGAAATGTGCTGGTAATTGTTTTGGCAAAGTATTTTGGCAAGGAATTCACTCCCGAGGTGCAGCTTGCCTGGCAGAAGTTGGTGGCTGGAGTGGCCATTGCCTTGGCCCACAAGTATCACTGAACCCCTCTGCCTTTAGGGCAGACTTTCCCCTTCAAATAATAATGAAAATAATAAAACTATTCTACTAAGAAATCGTTTGCGACTCTATTGTGTTTGCTTCTCATGTATTTTCTTTTTTTTCATTTTGCATGAATTTTTCATTTTTCTTTTCTTTTATTTATTATATTTTTGACAATCTTTACATAGTTAATTAGGGTAAAAAGGTACAAGGGCTATAGCAAAGTGGGTAAGACTATTATTTCCCGTATGACTGGCAAGAAATTGTTGTTGAGGGAAATGTGTGAGTTTGGGTTATGTGTGCACACTCTTCACTCTTTGCTTGGGCAGAAGATTTTGATGAGGAAACAAAGGAACAATGCAACAAAAGAGCACAGGGCTGGGAGTTCTGCCAGAGAAACAGAAGATGTGGGAGAGTTCTGATGGGAAAGAGGTGTTTTATGGCATTCAAACTCCACAGAACAGGACAGCGTAGGATGGAGTCAGAGAAGCCTCTGGGGCTGATCTGAGGCAGAGTAGTGAGGGATGCCTGGAACTCAGTGGGAGGAAACTGTTACAGACATTAGGTGGTCTACCTCTAGGCAGGAATTGTAATTCCATTCTACTTTGTGCCACACGCTTCCTACATGCACCTGATTTTCCACAAATTTTAGTGTGAGACTAGACAAGAGGCTGGATATCTTGAACATCATAGCAAGGGATAGCTACTTTCCTAGTTATTTCCTGGTATTTCCAGTACCTCAAATAACTGATCATCCCTTTACTGAAGAAATTTAGGCTTTACGTGTTGAGTTTTGCCAAGGGGAATTAATCTCATCCTCTCAGGACAATGTCTGAGTTTGCACATTGGCTACAGTATTTTAAGGAAGCAGCATCATTGTCAATGTGTAGAGCAATATTCTGATGGGGAAATAAACCATCAGAAGTTCAGAAGCCAGAAAATGTATATAATATGTGATCAATGGGGCAGCGATGTGAGCGTTCAAAGAACTAGGTTCTGTCATCTCTGTGGCAGACAAGCATAGCGTTCCTGGCTATTTCAGTCATCGCAGGCATTATAATAAACCAGTGTGTAGGAACTCTGTCTCTCTGCCTCTCAAATAAATTTTCAAACTCCCATAGTTTAAAGCAATGAATAGCATTATTTGGATAAATGAATATTCCTTTTCCTTTTAAAAATGATGGAGTCATGAATTTGGCAGAGTGGTTAAATATCTCCTTGGCATATCCACATCCCATATTAGAGGGATGGGTCAAAACCTAGATTTTCAGCTCCTGAACTAGCTTCCTGTTAACACACACTCTGGGACGTAGCAGAAGGCAGCTTAGGTAGTCACATCATCACCACCCACATGGGCACTTGATTTGAGCTTCAGACTCCTGACTTGAACCTGGCCCAGCTCTGCTATGCTATTTTGGGAGTTAACAAACAAAGCATGCGTGTGTCTCCTTCCCTGTGTTTTTAATTTTCAGGTTAAAAATGAAATAATAAAATAAAAATTATATGATAAAACAGATGTTTGTGATGATGCTCTAACGTTGAAGTGATGATATATTAAGTGTAAATGGAGGCACTAAACTTGAAACAATTAAAATTGTGAAATGGTATGAGCGAGAAAGAATTCAGAAACCCTGAAAAGTGACTGTCTAAATGCAGTTGAAGCAGCATTTAGAAGAAGCTGCAGGAGTCTCTGTTTAGTTAATAAGACAGGAGGACATTCACTGACCTGCAGAGTGGTGAATGCCCAAGTCAGGAGGGAGGACAGTCTGTTCACAGTGTTGGGGAAAAGCTTTACCCCGGAAGGGGTACCACAGAAGGGTAGTGCCCTGAACTGTTATATCCCACCACAGCAAGGGGTGTGAGAGCGCCTTACCTCCTGTTTCTCTGACTCTCAGCAGGACTCCTCTGGGCCTGAGTCAGATGCTTTCTTCTTGCTTATGTAACAAAGCTACAATTTTTCCTTTACAACTTGCTCTCAGACAAGGTACTGAGAGATCAGAGAGAGAGAGAGATCAGAAATAATCCTGCTTGCTGTGATAAACTAGTTTCTGGAAGCTTAGTGGTTACCAAACATATTTTATATTTTTAAAAAGATTTATTTGAAGCATTTATTTATCTGCAAGGCACAGAGGAGGAAGGAGAAAGAGTTCCATTCATTGTTTCATTCCTCAAACGGCAGAGCAGTAAGGACTGGGCCAGGCTGAAACCAAGAACCAGGATCTTCATTTGGGTCTCCCGCATGGATGGCAGGGAGCTGAATTGGAAGCAGAACAGCAGAGACTCAATATTTCATTCCTACATGGTACAGCCTGTGCTGTAAGCAGTGCCTTCCCCTGCTGTGCCAGGATTCTGACCCAATGCATGCATTAGTAATAGAACTCAAAGACAATGATCCAATACTCAGTTGTTATCTAACACACTCAGTTCAAACTCACACTGCTTCCAAACTGCTGGTAAAATCTAATCATTTTTGAGAACTTTAGGAAAGGTGATTTAAAAACACTCACACCTCAGACGCACTCATGCAGGATCTGACTCATGCCCAGTAGATTTTAAATTCTTTACTTTTCTGATTTTAACCCACACTTTAAGCTAAGCCTATAGTTTGTTTTAATGAGCATATGAGACATGAGCAGCATCATGGATGGGGAGACAGAATAAAGGAGCGCCCCTGATAGGATCACCTAACACGATTGGCTGGTGTGGCCAAAATCCTGGCTCCCAAGAACCACTGAGGTCTTGATGTGTTCGTCTAAGGCTGTTCCATGGAAAACCCTATACCGTAAACTTCATTTTCAAAAACAATGAAATTGTGCCACATATAAAATCAGAAGAACTTTCAGAATCTTCTAAGGAACATAGTTTGCTTTAAATATGTTTCTTATTCCTGTCAATTAATTTTGGACTTGTATACATGAATGGAGCCACATCAATGTGCTCCTGTAAGGATTCTGCCTTTACTGCTGGGATCCGCTGACAATGCCTCACAGTTTGCTGACTTCACCACTGTGTGAGGGCAATAAGGTCTTTTATATTATCACAGGTAAGCATTGCTGTCTTTCTGCGGTGACAGCAGAGGTCAAGGGCATGGGAAGTCATAGGGGAGGTCTTTATGCAAGTGCCAATCTATACTGATAAGGTCAGATTTGTTATCTCAACAACTTGGCTTAACTGAAAAATAGAAACATTGTCTTATTATTCTTTATTAAGACTGATCAATTATCTGTGAAAAAAAATTCCTGTAAAGGACATTCCAAGTATCCCCAGGATAGCTTCTTTCACACATACACGCATGAGTTCTGATAGTACAGGTAAAAAAGAGGATCTTTAAAATAGTCTCCAGGTGAATGATAAAATGAATATAAGGTTAAATTTAACAAAATGGAAACCAAAATCTAAACCTAAAGCCAAGTTTTTTAATGAAATCTTTGCAAGACCTCTTTCCCAGAATTCAACATTTGAAATATCTTCATAGATGTAAATTAGGTATTGCAAGAAGAACAAACATAAAGAGAAAACATTTAAATTCTGCCCCAGTTACCTCTACAATCACATTCTGAAATACGATTCTTGCCTAAATCTGCAGTCAGAGAAGAACCAGGCCTTTGCCTTTGTTACAACAATCCACCAGCAGCTCAGGAACAAATCTCACGCTTATCATTGTCACACATATGAGAAGGCCTGGTTCTTCTCTGACTGCAAACGTAGGTGAGAATCAATAGACGATTTCTTTTCTGCCAGTAAATCCAGCAGCTCTTTTGTAATCTGAGTTTCATAGTGCTCTTACTTGAAAAGACAGAATTCTGCAAGGTACATGCTATCAGAGAGCATTCTAGCCATTGGCGTGCCAGAGTCCTGAAAAGGTTCTAACGTAAGGAAAACATGGGAAGAGAAAGAAGTTAGGCTGTGTCCATCACAAAAGGACATGCCAGTTTAGGGACGATGAGGAGATAGGGATGACAGGCGGTGGGCAAATGACCAGCAGGGTCTCAGGGAGAACTGAAATGTTATTCAGAGCTCAGAAATGCTTTCTCCTTTGCTTTGTGCATTGTACTTGTAAAATAATGACAAACAAAACTTCAGAGATGCCTTTTAGCTTGAGAGTTAATCGCTTCTCATATGTATAGAAAAGATGGAAAGGACGTGGATATTGGAAAAAGTTAAAAAGATGGAATAGCTAGTTTCTGCAAAAACAATAACTAGGTAGGAGTAATGGAACTCACGTAAATAATTATGATTTAGTGAAATGATTCTAAGACACAAATTCTTGAAGTTTAGGAAAAATGAAACAGGGCCCAGTGGTGTGGCATAGTGGCTAAAGTTCTCACCTTGAACGCTCTGGGATCCCATATGGGCGCTGGTTCTAATCCCGGCAGCTCCACTTCTCACCTAGCGCCCTGCTTGTGGCCTGGGAAAGCAGTTGAGGATAGCCCAATATTTTGGAATCCGGTAACCGTGTGGGAGAGCTGGACGAAGTTATTGGTTCCTGGCTCCGGATCGGCAGAGACCGGCCATTGCACTCACTTGGGGAGACGGAAGATCTTCCTTTCTATATCTCCTCCTATCTGTATATCTGACTTTGTAATAAAAATAAATAAATCTTTTTTTAAAAAAGGAAAAATAAAACAATCTCAGCCCAGAATTGTAATGTCTTGTCATGTTTTTACCACTAACGGCAAGGCACAGAGAAGCTTCTCTTTCCCCGAGACTCCTAGATCATCCAGGCAGAAATGCTTACATGTGTTGTGAGAATCCCACTGGAAAACATTGAGTGGCCCAGTGTTAAAACTCTGGGGTTTGGACACATTTGTGTTTTTACTGCACTGACAGCTGTGTGTGTTTCCATTTCTTTTTCAGGAAACTTAGTAGCATAAGGGCTGCATTGGACAAACTTGATTTAGAAGTATTCTTTTCCAAACATCATTTAGCTAGTCATATTATCAAAACAGGTCAGCGCATGAATGAAATAATATTTAACTTTTAACTGTGAGAATATGATCCAAAGAGGAAGAAGATGTATATAAAAAAAAGATGACTCGGGTTTCATTGTGTTTTGAATTAGTTTGT